TCTACATGAAACAAACTTAGAATCATTTACTGGTTAGATCTGTTACAAGGCAGAGCGGCAGGAGGCGGGTTGGAAAAGGCCAATACAGTATTACTGTCTATAATCACTATGCTGGGTATTAAGCCCCCAGGACTGACTTATCTACTAGTTAAAGGCTTTGTACCCTTCAGCACCATCTCCCCAATCCTCCCACCTCCCAGTCCCTGGTAACCATCATTTTCAGCTCTTTTCACAAGTTCAGATTTTTCACATTCCACATATAAGTGAGATCAGGAGTTGTCTTTCTTAACTGCTTTTCATGTTTCCTTTGGGCTCTCAGCAAGCCCTGAGCTAGTGAGAAAGCTGGGCAGGATGAATGGCGGAAGGACAGCCACCTCGGGTCTGCTGATGCATAATGAGCTCATAATCCTCCCTACAGCTCCTCACCTGCGGGTCAGCCCACTCTGGGTGAGTGTCGTCGCACTGACTGTGCCTGCTCTTCCAGGAGGATCTGTGCAGAGTTGCCATTTGATTTGAGAAATACTGCTCGGTGTGGCTTAGAGACAATAAACTCCACTGGGTAGCCCAGGGGGCCGACGTGTCCCTGGAAGCCTGCGCTTTCAGAGTTTTGCTGTTTTATCGGACAGTCGCGGAGTTGGTACTTTTCCCTCCAGATAAAATCTTTCTCTCAATAACCAGCCAATAACGTGTGGTTGGAGATGAGTGACAGGATGTAATGAGAATGTGTGTGTGCTCAACCACAGGTTTTTTTTCCCTAAGGAAGGAATATAAAACTAAATAATTCATGTAACATTACTGACTCCCACACTATTGATTATAATCGCCGTAGTCGATTTGCTGCCCCTCCAGTCATTCCCAAAAGGTTATTACTTACAGCTTGTGGTACTATTTGCTGCCAGGATTCCATTTTTAAAAATAAGTATGAACAACGGGAGGAAATTCTTAGCTCACCAGAGAGTTCCTTCCGTCTTGAAAATAACCGAAGCGGCAGCATGTCTGGTTTTTAATTAATCAGGTGCCGAGAGCTGATCCCAAAGTTTCAAGTAAAAACAAAATGAGTGGCAAATAATAAGGCTGAAATGATTTCATAGATTAAGAAAAAAGTTATTAGAATAAATGTCTTTGATTTCAGACCAATGTCAGAATCATCAAATAGTGATCATTTTCACTGATGAAAGACTAAAACTAAGGGATGTATTTATTAATCGGACTATAACAGTTTATTTTATTATAAGGTCAGGCTTCTGGATGTAGAGAGAAAACTGTGAAATATGGCTAGCTATAAAAATGATCCTTTATTACCAATTAGGAGATTTTTAGTAAAGTATTAAGGATTTACCTTGGAGAGTTTTCTTTTCCTCTTCAAAGGCTGAGGAAATGCTGCCCATCCTATTTCCACGGCCCAGTTGGTAACAAGCTCTGCAGCACGTGAGTGTAGGAGCCTGCGGAGGTGTCACTGGGAAAACAGCACTGTGACGTCACACAACAGAGAAGATCCTCTGCTGACACCAACAGGGGAGCCCTTCCTACCTCTTACAAAATGCTCAGTTTTGAGGAGCTGTTGATTCTAAGTCATGCAAGCAACCAGAACATTAACATTTATAATCCCAGATTTCCTTGGAGCTGGGTCAATGGTTTGTAAAATGTAAGCTTCTCAACAATTTATTCTAAGATTTGTGACCAGTATTTTCTTACCTTCAAAATCATCCCTCAGGTACAATTTCAGCAATCTGAACTATAGACGGATGAGAGAGACTGTGCCAGGACCCCACCAAACAACACCCCTCTATGCCCTCTTCCCCACCCCCCTCCATGCTATTTTAAAAAAAGAAAATCTTGAGGCTTTGGAGACCCCCTTTACAATGGGCATGAAAGGGAGGGCAGCTCTGTGGCCAAGATCACAATGTAGCAGCTGATCACAGACTCACATCCAATTATTCTAACTTTAAAGACTGTAATTAATATTTAAAAATAATCAGGTTTCAGAAATACAAAATGTATCAAACCTATGGCCCTCAGGTTCTTCATACATAATATAAGGGGATTAGATTGGAATGTTATGTTTCTGAAGTCTGTTCAAACTCTAAGATTGTTTCTATAATTACAAATTACTTATAACTCAATAAAAGGAAAAACGCTTTGTGGAAGACCAGTCTTAGCTGTAGCCTTTCCCTGCACAGAGAACTGGTCCTGTGGGAAAAAAACAACCCAAAAGATAAAGAGTGAAATAAGCGATTACATGTTTTCAATTAATTTATTTTAGAAAAACAAAGGTTTACAATAGGCGCCCTAAGGCAGGATATCGTGATTCACTAGTAATACAGACTTTCAAAAACCTTTAGAGATTAGCCCAAAGTAGAAAACCGTTGGCCCGCACTTGGACTCAAGACACATCCAGAAAAAATAGATATTTATAAAAATAAAATGGCAAACCTACCCCACCTATTAACTGACATCCCACAATGGGGTATTGAAACAATTTCTGCATAAGAACAGCTGAATGACTTTGCCCTGTCCTACCTCCATATCAGACTGAAGCAATGATGAAAATATTTAAGTTACTTTTGCAAGATCAAAACCAAGGGGAAAAAAAAAAAACACCAAAAATACCCTGAAACAAATCACAAGAAACAACAACAGAAATCCACTGAACAAAAACAAGACAGCTAATTGTTTACTCACAGAGTCTTCCCTCAACCTCTAGGCATCTGGCTCTTAATGTTACTCCTAAATCAGACACCACGAAGCATGTGTGATGAAAATGGAAGTTCCAGATCTAACCCACCTCAAAGTCGTCTCAGACACAGCGATACCCGAGAAATATTAAAGTACGACAGACAAAAAGGACTACCAGCAGCATCCCTCCTGAGCTCTGGCGTCACACTGAAGGGGAAAGCACACCAGTGAGCAAAAGCCTCAATCTGTTTTGTGAAGCGCTGACTAAAGTAGAGACATGTAAAAAGCAAAATATTAATACATAAAGAAATCAAGTTATTCACTTACAAACCATCTACACCTTTTGTTTTCCCAATGGACACACTGACACACACAGAACATGGGGCAACAGTAGAGCTGCGAAAGGTAACAGGGACTGAAGCATTAGTTTATGGACAGAAAACCGCAGACCAAGATCGCTGGACTTTTGCTTGTTGACACATACTGAGCTTTACTCTCTTCTCATCTTTCCCCATTGAGGTCTTTCATTTGATGCCTGAGAAAGACAAAACCTGCCGATGACGGACACCTGAGAGTGACAAACAGGAAGCAAGGGGCAATGGCGTGTCCTATCATTCCCTGCAGGTCCTGTCATTTCCTGCTGTCTTGGGCAGTGGCTGAGCTTCAACTTCCTATAGACTGAGACTCAAGTGAGGCACCCGTACTTACGTTGGCTTCTCACTGCTGTAAACAAGCCTGACCTCTGGGAACGCTTATATTTATCTTCCAAAAGAACCCCCCATGACTCTTTGGAGAGCAATCTCCCGGTCAAATTAACAGCATTTGTCTCCAAATTCCCTCTAAGAACACATCATTCGACTATTTCCTGAAATTCCCTAGCATGTATGTGTGACTCATTATTAAAAACAGGAATGGGATGCCAAACATCAAGAATCAGTAATTACTACACACTAATCAAGTACATGGATACAATAAACAATCACTACTGTCTCCTCAGTACTTGAGAGACAGTTTCAGTCTATCATCAGCAGGCATCAGAAGTCACCAAAGGCTGCCCTTGGGGACCAAAGCCCTAAACAAACTCAGTGTCAGGACCACGAATTACAGTTTTAAAGTGAATGAACATTTTAAAACATTTAATAAAATTCTTCATATCAGACAACCAAACTACTCAAGGAATCATCACCCAAATAAAAGCCACTGAATAAAAAGCCAGAACTTGATTAAAACAAAGGCCTCAAAGATAAACTAATGTACAACAAACATACTAGACTGCTACTTAAATACACCAAGTCTTATGCTTTACTAGGGATAGAGTTCCTGCACCATTTCATTACAGAGAGGACAGGCTGAGGGCTAACAGAACTGAGAGGGAGAAACGGTAACAGTCAACCTCTTAAATCACTGACCATGATTCTGCGACAGGCTGATTATGTCACTCTCACCCATTAGGAACATACACATGCCCATAAGAGATGTGCCAATACATGTGATATGTATGTGTGTGTGCATGTCTACACACACATACACATATTAGTTACCTTCAAGTTACGATGCCATAAACATAAAATATGATATATATTACTTTTTAAGAAGTAGCAGGGGTTTTTTATCAAAAGACATTTTTAGAAGAACTCTCAATACAGAAAACAGAAATAAAGCAGGCAGTTCTGGCTAAGGCAGGGCGGAGTGACAGGACCCTCCCCTTCCTGCAGCGCCTGCCGAGAGCCTGCTAACAGTGTGGAGAGCGTGTCTGAAATCACCGCTAGGTCAGTTTACGCTACAAAGACCAACTAAGACCATTTTTGCCACTACACAGGCCAATATGAAAATTTTGTAACACAACTAAGTATAAAGTTAAAAAGTAACATTTCCTCTCCTTTAAAAATAACAAAATAAAATTGCTATGCTATATAAAACCAAATTTTTAAAATTTTATAATTTTAATTTGCTCCGTGGAAAAAGTTATTAGTTCTCCTTAAAGTGCCTAAATTTTAAAGACTTAATTTTGTCCATATAAATTTTATCCAAAATATAAGAGGAGACCGATGGCAGGAGGTGGAGGTCCTGCTTCTGTATCAAACGTTCTCCTCTAGCTGACTGCCCCCCTTAAACACTCTGCCTGGGAATCTTAGTTCTGCCACCGACCATCAGAGAAACATGCACAGAGAACCGATCTGTTTTAACATCTAGAACGTAAACTTCGATGGAGTATTTTTTGTTGTAGACAAACACTTCCTCTCTGCCCCAAGCATCTCCCCATTCGTGACGCGCTACTTCCATCCATGCAGCTGACCTTAGCAAAATACAAACAACGTGTTGTCTTCTGTAAAGATCATGATTAAGTGACTAAATTCAATAAATAGGCTCTTTAATAATTTGAAATCCCAGCAAAGTCTCAATCTGTCTTCTTTTCTAACACGTCCTTGGGCTCCTGCCGCTCCCCGCTGGCCTCTGCCACTGCCCGGTCCTCGGCGTGGCTTTTGGGTACTTCATACCGCTCCTCTACGTAGCCGCCGTCCGTGTCGGCCGTGTAGATGCCATAGCACATGATGCTGATGACGCCCAGGGGCAGGCCGAAGAGGAAGCAGCCCAGGATGGGAGAGCTCTTGAATATGGACTGTGGAGAGAGAACCACAGCTCAGTCCCCCGAACACATGCACATGAACAGCACGAGTGAGGGAAAACCACTACAGGAGGTCCTTGCTGCCATCTAACTGCTCAGTGTCAGCGTTTCTACAGGAGCCATGTTACAGATACTCTAAGGACGGGGATTCTATATTGTGTGAGCATGTGGGCTGGCATGGAACCAGCTCCTGGCAGAAGAAGAGGCACCACGTGCTCTGAGGCCACGTCTAGCGCCACTTCTTTCTCTCCCATGAGCCACAAAGGGCTCTGGGACGGCTCCTGTGTGTGTGGGCGCTGGAGCTCCTGGGCCGGGACCTCAGCTCCCCAAGAGGGCTGCCTGTCCACCACAGGAAGGTGCACACATGTTCCCTTCACATGACACTGTAAATGTTTACTTCTCTAGTCAGCAGTGAAGCCACATTAATGTAATAATTTCCCTCAACTTATCTACTGACTCCTCAGCTCCCCGAAGAGTAAAAGCAATTTCCCTGGTTAGGTTTTTCAACTGCAGTACTTTCTATGGGCTGTGACTAACTCTTAAGAACCATGTAGCCCGGCCGGGAGTGGCTCAGCGGTTGAGCATCGACCTAGGATCCAGGAGATCGTGGTTCGATTCCAGGTCAGGGCACATGCCCGGGTTGTGGGCTCAATCCCCAGTGGGGGGCGTGCAGGAGGCAGCCGATCAATGACTCTCTCATCATTGATGTTTCTCTCTCTCTCTCCCTCTCCTTTCCTCTCTTTCAAATTAATAAAGACATATTAAAGATATATTAAAAAGAAAAAGAACTGTGGGTTGAGGAAACAGAAGAAAGCTTCATAAAGTTAAGGTGTTCTGAGCAGAAATTTAAGCAAGAGTGAGAATGCAGCCGGGCACGGAACAGCGTGAGCACCAGCAAGACACGGGGAGGCCCATGCAGCAGTTGGAGACCGGGAGGATAGGACCAAAGATGCACAGAGGCTCTGACTCGTGCTATCAGTTGTCTAGTGGTGTGAGAAGGGGCTGAGGGCCACCCCACAATGCCAGTGGGAAGGTAAAGAGGGTCACTGGTAAACTGAAGGATGCATGACTAACACTATTAGACCTCCTTTCTCACCAAGAGAAGAAAGCTGGCTATAATCTGATGACTGCTATTGGCCAGAATGAATGAAAATACCCTGGAGGTCACTCCAGACAGACAATCAGAACTAAGTTTAAGGCTCAAACAGATTCGGGGCAGGCCTCTGGTCTCAAGCTGACTGACCGAAGCCAGGATAGTAAGATTTCCCAGAGTGAGCCTCCCTGCTGTGTCTGAAAGACACCCGAAGTCAAGCTGTCACACCCCAACTCTGAATTCCAGTTACTCACCAATCACCACGCAATGATCAGAGGAAAAATTTCCGCCTGATGGACAAAAATTCTTAAATACAGACTTGCTCCTACCTTGCACATCAGATATATTTACCCACTCCTTTCAAATCCCAGATTTTACCTTAGTTAGGCAAAAAGAACCTATACACCTATATACTGTCAATTACCAATGAAATTAAACAAACTGTCAAAACTTACCACAATAGTAGATTTGGCATCAAATACCATTCTTTTCAGTCTCTGAAAAATGCTATCACCTCCTTGGGCCTTAAAGTTAACAGAGAAAGACAATTACACTGTTAATTTAAGAACTATTATTTCAATGTTCTATTCTGTAATCTTACAACTGCCAGTGAGGGCTGAGGGCTGCTTACATGAAGCACCCAGGGGCCAGGTGGTGAGCAACACCCCCCACACACACCTAACCCCACCCACTTCCCTGTGGACAGTGACTCCGCCCCAGGAACACACCCTCCCTAGTCACATCCCCCAAGGCCAGGCCTGCTTGCAGTTCAGCTGACACTGTTCAACTCTAGACGCTGCAGGGGTCTTTGCTGCTGTGCATAGTTTCTCTGAGCATGAGGCTCAAAAAGAAAGAGCACCAAAAGGCAGAGATAGAAAAAGTCCTGATGAAAATTAATCCAATTCTCAGCACCCAGCCATCCTGAAGCCTGTCCTGGTCCTTGACTTTCTCAGCCCGGTGAGCCAGTGAGGCCTCCCTATTGTCCAACAGCCCGGGTTGGGTCTCACTAGTCCACAGATAGAAGGGCTCTATGCACACAGGTGAGTTCCTTTCAACAGGTGTCATTTTCACAAGTATAAAATTCCCATGTGATTTCCAAAGCAGAAATACTGTTACTCTGAGTCAACTTTCATATAAACTTTGTGTAAAGCTGAAGGAAAAGTCTCACAGAATAATTAAACTTCATGTACATACAGGAGAACCGTATTTCCTTTCTACTTTAATCTGCTGATGTGATTTCAGACCCTCTGCTATGGGCTACAACAGTCTGAAACACATTGATGAGATTTATAGAAAAAAAGAGCAAGTTAAAACTATTTGTTCACCATTTCTGAGAAATATCTGATAGAATGTGGAAACTCCATTGGGGCTCTGAGTCTCAATATATTTCCTTAAGAAACTGGTCTTATTCACAGGTTTTCTTGGAAAAACCAATCCAAAAAACCAGAGTCTCACTCTGGACTCCAGGAAGGTACTAGGAACCAGGGAAGTTCAGTACCCAGACAGCTCTGTGCCCTGCAGATGAAAGCATCCCTACCCCGACTCTAAGGCCGGCAGGGCCCCCTAATCACAGTGACAACCAGAACTGCCTCCAAATCACCCTCACAGGGCATTTCCACCCATCAGCAGCCTCTGCCACGAAGAACCTGCCCACATGTGAGACAGGTACGGAGGGGTGGGAAGGCATGTCCCCACCCCTGGCGGTGCAGGCTCTCCCTCTCAGAGGCAGAGCACAAGAACTGCCCTCCTCCGCCGCCTCCCACCGTCTTGTGGGACTAAAGTGAACTTACTTCCACTGTGCCATCCAAAATGCTGTTAATGAACTGGACCATGTCTTCTGTGTCCCTAATCTGTCTGTCTAGTAAAAAGTACTGCTGGTTTGAGGTGTTCAGTACAACGATAGTCGGGACCTTCAATTCACTGGAGAGAGAAAAACAAGGAAACCAAAATGTGCATTAAACACACAGAAGACAAATATCCTGACATTTACAGAGATCTAAGTAACTGTAATTACAAAAAGAGGAAGCTGTATTAATAGCTTTGCCTCCTTTTGCCTATGTGAAGAAAATTTATAATTTTGCATCAATTTAAAAAATAGCTAAATTAAGATGATATGAAAAACATTCTAACATACAATGTAAAACAGCTGAGTTTTCATTATTAAACTTAAGGAGAAATTATTAAGTCTAAAGTATCAACTTCTGGGTAGTACTGTTCCTGCTGCAGACATACTTTAAATCATACACGACCTGCCTCAGTGAGATGGCACTCGGGTAAAAGACAGGGCAGAGCATGGCCTCTGCAGTCACAGGCTTGTGTTCAGACCTGGGGCTTTACCACAGCTTAGTGCTTTAAGCTTGGTTTTATATTGGTAAATGAATAAAGGGTGTGTGTGGGGTGCCGATGTTGCTGAAAGTTAAATAAGGGAGTTCAAGTTAACTATTCACAGTACCTTGAACATAACACACGTTCAGTAAGTACCCTACGCCCCCCAGTACTGTATCCCCACCCTCAGAGGTGCTTCAGTGACCGCCAGACACCAAGCCAGCTTGCAGGCAGAGAACTAGACTATTACCAAAGTGCCATTCTACTGAAATAATTTATTTTCTTTCAAAGACAGGTTCTGCACAATCATGAAAGGAAGGTGTGTAATTCCGTGTCACCTCCACATCAGCCGTTATCCATACATCTACACGTAAGTTATGCAAAAGGAGGAAATTCTGCAGCAGACACGATTTTCAGCACTAATCACACACACGTGACTGAGTCCAGCAGATTGCCTTGTTGCTCATAATTCTCTATCCCTCCCACGTCACTTTTTTTTTTTAATTGATTTCAGAGGGAGGAAGGGAGAGGGGGAGAGAGAGAGAAACATCAATGATGAGAGAGTCGTCATTGACCGGCTGCCTCCTGCATGCCCCCTGCTGGGGAGCAAACCTGCATCCCAGGCATGTGCCCTGACTGAGAATGGAACTGTGATCTCCTGGATCCTAGGTCGATGCTCAACCGCTCAGCCAGGCCCAGCCGGGCCACACCACACCTTTTCCCAGTGAGGCAACTTGTGCTCACCTGCCCCCGATGTTGGGGGCACAGATGTGACGCCATCAATGGGAACAGACGGGAGGAAGCAGAGGCTGGACATGTGCCCTAGTGGCTGGGCTTGCTTCTTGTGTTTTGTGACTGCCAGAAGGACATCCCCAAGAAAATGTCCTTTCAAGGTCGAGGACATCAGAGCCAATGGAAGAGACCTGCACCTAACTGGCAGTTTGCAGCCACATCCGGCTGTGCCAGCCAGGCATCCAAGCCCAGAGCAGGGAAGGAGGACCCGGGGTTCCCTGCAGCCTCCGGGTGTGAAGGGGGCTCACCACTGAGTCTGGTTACTAGGCAATGGCCAGCTGTGCTATGCAGCTTCATGCCATCTAGGTGAGAATGGAAGACAACGTCTCATCCTACATCCCTGATTATAGTCACAAAAACTCAATACAAAATAACTTAATAGCCAAAGACTTGATAGTACCATATTTGAGAAAAAATAAATATATAGTCAATGTGGCAATGTAATTATTCTATACATTATGGTGTATTTGCTGCAAGTTGAAAGTTGCACTAGTTTACGCGTCAGGGTTCACGTCACCGTAGTGAAGAGCTTTGGAGCCCGCGATGTGCATTGAGAACTGGGTCTCTACCTTCCCTGTTGCAGCCTCTGGCACATTATTTACTCCTCTGAGCTTCTTCTAACAGCTCTGAATGTCCTCACCTACATAATATGGAAATAATTACGGTCCTCACACCTCACTGACTGACCACTCAGCCCAGCTTGGTCACAGGGAAGTGCTCAGTAAGGACTTCCAATTATATTATATAACCATCACTACATGCCTTCTCTCTTCTCAAAAACACAAAACAAAAACCAACACCAACCAAAGAAAGCACAGGCAAATAAGAGAAAAAACCAACCGTCCCAAACTATAAAGGGCTGCTGGTAGAGACCACAGTAACTATAGCTCGGAAATTCCATTACCTCAGGACGAGCATTAGAAGTAACTCGTATGAAGGAATGTCCATCCATCTCTACATATTCTGAATATTATCCTGGGTCAAGCTGTTGTTTATTGGACCCAGACTGCTTTGGCCTCTTGCAGGCTGCTGAACTGAATCTATATACTGGCTTCCCTCGAAGGCCACTATAAGAAATGGCTGCATCAATGTCCCTGCTATATATATATAGTAAATAACCCCACTCAAAATACATTTGTATTTGGACCATCACCCATTATGAGACAGTATAGCACAGCAATTTCTCTCAGGTTTCTACAAGGTCAATAATACTCCTATAAGCAACTGCTATTTTGTAGACAATAGAAAACAGGTAAATACTTTCAGTTGAGCATTAAAAATGCAGGTCTGTTTTTCAAATACTTTTAATAACTATATAGATCCTTTATTTTATTTTCCTTTAATTTTAGACTTTTAACTGAAAATTATGAATGTCCCTTTGAGTTTGTAAGTCTGGTTTTTATCTCCCCACTGTGGTAGTGGGTAACCGGAAGACTGCACCTGCTACACACGTGCTAGAAACCAAAGCTCGAGAAATCGAAACAGCATCACGCTGCTGACCTTACATGGACAAGGCTGTCTACAGGGAACCTGCCCATCTTCATCAGGGCTGCTTTCAAGTCTTGCCACGCTCCTCAGCCCCATCTGCAACCGCCTCTTGCGTTTGCTATTATGCACTGTCTCAAAAAACCTCCCCGCCTTCTCCACGCAGCTACCTTCTCATTCTTTAGGGCTTCTCCTCATCACCGACGCCTCCGGCCAGCGTTTCAGAGGCCTGCCAGCTTCGTGTGCACTGGGCTGGCGGTGGGAGTCTGTGCTTCCAGAAACCCTCTACTAGACTTTTCCCTGTGAGAATCATGCTGTCCCCCCAGTGTGCTAGCAGCACCTGAAGACAGGGACTCTAATTCACTCATTTTTTGCACCAACAGTGCCAAGCACAGTATATGAATACAGTAAATACTAAGTGTCCACTGAACTGAGTAGGTTCTTATTTGAAATTAATTCAGAATAGGTATGACAAATGTTTCCTAATATCAACTTTATGAAGTGACAAGTCAGATCCTTACATCACAAATATGAAATTATTTTAAAATCACATATTTTCCATATAATGCTATTTCAGTCTGTTGAATTCTAGAATAGCAATTAATTCTTGAATGTTAAAATTTTTCTACTTAATTTTGTTCATTAAAACTGAACTTAAGGTAAGGTGTGTATTAAACAGAAACTACAAAATTTTTAAGTTTTTGAAAAATGCTTTCTTTCCAAAATAATATAAATTATTAACACTGAGTTGGAAGACATGTTTTAGTACAGAAAAATATGAAAGTTTTAAATGCAGATTTAAGAACTAAAGTAAAGTATTTCCTGGGAGACTGTGTACATCAGCTGTTAGTACTTTTGTCTGTCTCTCAGAAACAGAAATTTAAAAATTGACAGAATTGATAGGAAAATCATTAAAGCATTTAGTACTTACTCCATCAGCAAGGAATTTATATAGTCATTCCCATCCATGTGCCCAAACTGAAAATCCCTAACCAGTAACGACAACCAAAAAAAAAAAAAGAGAGAGAGAAGAAAGCAATATTTATTTAATACAAAAAAAACTGACTTGGTAAGCATACAAATACTATAAACATTTAACATGTAAATCACATACAATAAATGTAGAAAAGAGTGTAAATTCTACAGGCTTTTGAGATACAAATACACATAAGTAAAGTTAAACAAATTCTAAGACATTTCTATTTTGTATATATTTCAATGCAGGGCAATATAAGCTTTTCTAATTACAACATGTTGAAGAAAAGTTACACATGCTAAACAAGGACTGCTCAGGAGACGCTCATTTATATGTCACTGATACAGCATGAGAAGATGTAATAAAAAGGGAGTAGCAATTAAATAATGTAACAAATTTATACTGGCTGTCTCATGTCAGCAACAAACAGAATGATTTAGCACACAGCAAAAATATCACTTATGTTTACGTCCCCTTATTCTGAGTTCCTGTTACAAGCATCATTTGTCTATCTGACTTGTGATTGCTCATTTAACTTTATCTCAAATGTATGCGCACACGTGCATATCTCTTACCGCAAAACCTATCCCAAATCCTATCAAGAAGCAGGTGTAACACAAATTTGTTGACCAGACATATCAACAAACCTCAAGTCTAGACAATTCATAAAGAAACACACAATGCTACAATTCACTTCAGCTCCTGATTCATCTTGGAAGGTATGAAATACTATCTTTGGTTTACTGTACAGAACACAGTTAAAGAAAACTAGAGGAACCATCCAGAGTGCAAGACTTACCTGTGGAACTGATCTCTGTGATCTCTAGCAACTTCCTGAACAATTGACTTCAACCTGCAAAAGAACAAACACATGAGTATTTCACTTGAAAACTATAATTACTCAACTATAGTATCTGCCGCCTTATCTATTACTGCAGGAAAAGACATTAAGTTCATCTGAGCCCTGTACAGTCTGAATCAGGTAACATTTGAAGTTGAAACTATTTCAGGCACTAACCTGGTATGTTCGACTGATGTATTTTTCTCATCGATAACTGCAAGAGCCACAAGCTTTCCTGAAATTAAGAACATTCCTAAAGTCAATAGCCCTCATTATGCAAACTTTCAATCATTACTGTAGCTGTGAATGGGGAATTAGTGAACAGTTTCTAGAACTGAATTCCAATGATCTCACGGGTGTTACGCTCAGTAGAGTGAATCAGTGAGTTAGTCAACTCCAAGTGGTATGTTCCCTCCCAGTTCACATCCTCACAATTAAGTAATAGTAAATATTCAACAATTCATACACACAAACTATTTGAGACCATACAGTTAGCTTCCTACAGGTTTCATTTTTGTGTCTATATTTATATTTTGCTGTGCCTGTCATTTTCAATCATATAACTTGAAAAAACTGTGCCATTTGATACCTTTATTTTCCACACAAGTTCAACAGGCTTTAAAGGGCGGGGTAAGTTCTCTTCAAGTCCTGTTACAAACTCAGCCTCCTGAGTACAGCTTCCTGATTTGTCATTTTTCTCATTTCCTTATTACCTGGGCTCCGTTTCCTGTCGCTCTCAGCTCTATAAGTAAGTTCTCTCTAGCTAAGCTTTGATCCATATACGAAGGTATATTCTTCGGTACTATTAACCTATATTCTCATAAAATAGAGCTGGCATTCAGGTCTAAAGAATAAATGAAATTATAAAATAGAGCTTAAAATTCATCTCTTTGGAATCAGATTTAAGTGATCCATCAAAGAGGAATTCTGTGAAGTGACGAGAGCTGCATATATGTCTGTACCGGTGTCTCCAAGCTCATACAAGAGAAAGCCGTCCATAGTCAGATAATTCTGAAACCTCTCCCTGTTGATCCAAGACGACAGGTCACCATCTTCATACTCTTAAAAGCAAAAGAAAGTTGACGGTTATAGCATAAACATGCCTGTATGATGTTTACATTGTTCTACTCCAGCAACATGTACAACATGCCAGCATTATAATCTTCATTTCATAAATTCCGTTTACAGGGGTGTACTCTAAGCACACACACAGATGGACAAACACCCAGGTCTGAGGCACAAAGCGGTGCCTCACTGGGAGTTTGCTGCACTGCCCCGTGTACCTCAGAGCACTGGAGTGACTGTTAATTTTGTTAAGTGCTGTAACAGCACGTGGTTACCTAAACAAAAAAAGCCCACCTTTTTAAGGGATGCAGAAAGAAGCACAAAATAATGAAATACTAGGAATTGCTTTCAAGTACTCCAATGGAGAAAAAACTTGAAGCAAATGTAGGTAAGAGTTTGGTCCCTGTCTCACCTGGGTGATGGGTGTGCATGCAGGGATTTACTACTTTAGTTTTCTCTTTACTACTACATATGTTTAACATAATAAAAATACTTTAAAACCAGACTGAGTATCTGCTTCAAGGAAGCAATGCTGAATCATGGCTGAACCGTCGAGCAGGGAGAGATGGAGGCAGGGAAGATACAATACATGTCATCCCTATTGGGGATGTTTTATTTCTTCACCTTTTTATGTGCCTGAAATGTATCTTTTTTAAAAATTAATTTTGAATATTTATGTATAGAAACTGCATAGGGTTCACTTCTGAAAAAGGCAAATAATCTGACACACACACAAAAACAGGAACACACAAAACCACAACCCAGAATGAAAGAGCACTAAGTGGAAGGACTAAAGTTGAAGCATAAGAAAAACACGTCAGTCAGCCATTCAACTAAAGGAGCTGTAAGCAGCAGTTACATTTACTAAATCTTCCACCAACACCTGAGATCTGCAGGGGACAGCATTTTAATGTTAGAATGTTTTATGGGAGCTAAAGCTCTGGAACTCACCATCGTAAACAAAGTAAGTTTCGTCTTTGAAGACAAGCACAGCGGGCATCTCCTTCAGTGTCACATACTGCAAAGATCAGACAGGTAAAGAATCTTATTTAAAAATTTTTCAACTGGCAGCTATGATTTCAAAACTATTAAAGGACACCAGAAAAAAGAAAAAAAAATCTAACGATGACAAAATTGTTACAAAAAATTATGAAGAGCAGAGCGAATCCCAAGTTCACCCAAGGCCTGGGTTTGAGCTCTCTATTCACCCACCACCTGGCACAGTGCCCTGTTGCTATGGTGAAAACTATGGGATATTCATACAGTTGACAACGGATCTAAAGATGGGGGGAAGTGAAGGACGAGGGACACTGTGAAGGGGCTGAACAGCAGGGCCTAAGGCATCAGTTGGCACAGGCAGGCTCACGTCCCTCCCCACCACTCCAGGGGCAAGAGACGAGCCCATCGCTTTAACTGGGAGCCTTACAATCTGAACACTTCTACTTTAAACAAGTTTTCTTCCATGGCTTCCTCACTCATCTTGTTTTCCTACTTACTGGCTATTTCTTGCATTTTCCTTTGTTGATTTATATCCTGGGCCCTCTTCCTTCCTTAAAGCTTTGTATCCAATGCTTAAGGCGTTTATTTTTACAGCCTTACCTTTAGACCCCTGTTCCCAACAGCGTATCTGACGCTTATACCTGGATGGCTAACAAGCTAAATCAAACTAAAACGAATCCTTCAAAACTCCTGGTCACGCCCCCTATTCCCAACTTGTTCCTTCTGCAACAGCCCCAAGCTCATGAAACCACCACCACCCACCCAGTGTTCAAACTAGAAACCTGCATGTCATCTTGAGTCTCCCTTTTTCCTCCAGATCAGCCAGCTCTAACCACTCCATTTCCAAAGCACAATCCTTTCACTTTTCCCCGCTTTTCTTACTGACCCCAAGCCCAAACTTCTTGTTACTTCAAGAGTTCAGCTGATCTCTGCACCTAGCCCCATCCCCACCCAGCTCATCCTGCACTTAGCAGAGAGTAATGCTCTTAAATGAAGGTGAGACCAAGTCCCTCACCAGGTTCAACCACATGACTGGCACAACCTGCAAGGCCTCTGCGGGCCTCTGCCTTCCTGCCACACCCTTTCTCACTGCACTAAGACCACAGGGGCCCACTGCTCTGTTCCTCAAATATGCCTGGCGTGTTCTCATCATGGGCACCTGCTCCCTACTTCTGGTTTCCTCTGGCCACAGATCTCTGCATGGCTCCTTTATCATCTAAGTCCCAGTTCAAATATCTTCTTCCCAGACTGACATTTCTTGATCAGAGTCTAAAGGTCTCCACAGCCACATGGCTCCTTGATTTTTACAGCAGTTACAATGTCCTGCTTATAGACCTGTTTCCTAAGGCTCACTACCTCACCTCCATCAGAAGGCCCAGGGAAGATTCACTGGCAACACCAAGTCCAGGTCCTCCAGAGGAGCACGTGAGCCCCACCCTATCAGGGTCTGAGGACTGGCTGGTCATCCATCCAGGACGGACCCAGTGCATGGCACAGTTAGAGGGTGAGAAGTAGCTATTTGCTCTATAGACATGCATAAATAAACCCGCTACTTACAAACCAATGAAGGAATGAATATCACCTCTCACTATTGCTATTATTTTCTAGAGGAAAAAAAGCCCTAATGTAACAATAATAATAATAATCCCTAAATGCTACCAATCTAGTGTATTTGCTTATTAACAATAAGCAATATGGTACCAGTAGAAAAGAGTGAACATGCTTGCTGTTTCCACACATATCACAGTAAATAAATCTTACAAATAAAATCAAGTAGTAAGTTAAAAATTAAAATTACTTATTAAAGTCTAATTTTAAATATTACCTCAGGAACCACTTCTTCGGAGGCAGAGAAGAAGTAGGTATACACAATTAATTCTGAAGCCGCATCTATGTATTTCTCCTGTGAAAATGCAAACAAAATAGGTGACTTTAAAATATTAAGACCAAAATTAATTCCTCACTAACAATTAGAACAAGCTGTATCGTTCACTAGGTAGTATTACCACAATCTGCTACCCTAAGTCCTTTTATGTAAAAAGATAGAATATGAACAAATGAAATAGGCTGTTTGTATGGCAAGAGACCTTTGTAACTAAGTGCTTTCAAACCCCTCCAAATAAAGTTAATTAAATATAACATAAGCTCAATTCATATTAATTTAATTTGATGATCACAGAAGGGATGTGTGTGCATACACACACAGACACATACAAATATAAAATAATCTAAGACAATGATCTTTTTGCCTTTAACAAAATTACACTGAAAATGCATTTTGCAGTCTCAAAATTCAAAATGCTAAAAAAATGTAACCAGGTCAGTAATAGAAGAAATGCCAAGACAGATACATCTGCCAACTTTTTATTCACTTTGTTTCATGAAGGCAAACACTATATAGGATATATAAGAAAGGGTTTTTATTATAAAATTACTTAGATTGAACTAAAGATTTCCAACAAGAGTGAGTTTGAGTCTTTGGTGAAGTTTGGACTTCACTGAACATTAAATTACAATACATCTGTGTTACTGGACTATAAAATACAATCACTTGATACCTTCAAAGGGGACTCTCCACCTATATAAACAAAAAACACACGATGTCTTTTCTGCACATGTTCGAACATTTGCTGACTTGGAAGTGGCCGAATTAGAGCTCTGTTTGAAACAATACAAATGAAAATTAAACTTGCATTTGAACTAAAGACAGAAAAATCAATTCTATTTATATAATAGCCTATTCTGTCTAAAGTTATAAAGTTTAAATGCTGTATTAACTGCATTTTAAGTGCACCAGCCAATCCACATTAATCTAATAAACTATAGCCCGTGACCACTACTATACCCATATAATAAAAACATAGCACCCACAATTTAATCAGTTTAAAAATTAAGTTTCAAATACATCCCTTTAGAGAATAGCATCTTAGCCAATATTTTGATAGGCAAAAACATTTATTTAGAATCCTCAGGAAAAACAATCAATCCACATGAGAGTATTTTTTTCCCCCAAAAGATCATCTACACAAACATACTGTGAAAAACAATCCCAGGAGCTTATGATGCTATATTAATATTCATACTTACACTGTCCACTTAAATGCTACACAGTTTTAAAATAGCCCACAGAGGTTAAAATCTGAAACTTTTCATAAGTATGTTATTTGGTAGTCATAATAGTGCATAAGAAACTCATAAAGAGAAAACAAAACAGTACGAAGATTTTATTACGTAAGCATATTTCAAACCCAACAAGACTAATAAATTACATCAAAGGTTACTACAAAACATATCACTTACAAAGTAGTATTAAAAAACTGAAAGAAGAGGCAGTCTTCTTTTACATGTGGCCTATATGATCAGATTTTGACTCTACCAAATTTGCAAAAAGAACAAAACACATTTTGCAAAGCACACATATTTTCAAAGCACAATTCTTTAGCTGTGTTGCATCAGTCTTATCTTGCTCCTATTTTTACTTGAGTAATTAACTGGTAACTGATGCAACTCCTGAAATTTCATTTGCAACAGAGTCTCCCCTGGTTACATCAGGGGAGCCCTGCTTAAGCTTAAACTAAAACATTGAAATTGGCTAAAGCATAAAGAGGAATCTAAATCACGGGGGGAATCAAGTACAACCTACTGGTAGTCCCCTTGTATAATATAAAGTTACCTCAAAATTTATTTACTCACAAAGCAAATAGAGGCAATAAAATATGCAATCAATGTAAAACACAGTGAAAATTATATTAATAAGTCTTGCAAACTTGCCACCCAACAAATCCATCCCTATATTTCAATTTACTTTAAACCCATTTAAAGCTATCAATATATCCTGTCAGACTCCTAAGAAAGTGCCTATACTTTCAAAGTCCATTTAGGTTAAACTATCTTGAATGTTCTCTTCAAAAAGTTGCACATAATCACTTTAATAATTATAAACACCAACTTTCTTTACCCCAGCAAGATGCAGATTAAAACACAAAATCACTGCTTTCAAACCAACAGGAAGTGCTTATGGGAGGAAGCACATGGGTTCTAATTATGTCACATTCCAGGCAAAATGTGCAGAAACACCTCATAGTGGGCACAAAGCAGCGTGTGAGAGATCAGGGCAAGAATTCCAGCTGCATCTAAAAGCACTTTCTAATACTAAAGCCCAGGGATTAACAGCCCAAGTCTCTTCAGAACAGTAACACTGTGAGGTTTCTCTTAAAACTTTAAAATTAGGTAACAATAAGAATAAAGCGATGTAAACCAGGTAGTACAAAAGCAAAATTGTAATATAATGAAAATTAGGATTCACAAAGCTGTTAGAAATAATCAAATTTTGAACATGAATTAAAAATTGGGAGAAAAATGCTTCTATGCTGTAAATAAACTTAAAGGTGAGGTTAACAAGTATATACTACAAATCACAGACCCCTCCCCACCTTTTTAAAAAAATAATCTCTTTGCATATTCTACATAACCTTATCTTCTATCATAAATAAGTAGACAAGTCTTATTCAGGTTAAGTCTCAATAATGATCTATAAAAATACAATTAACTTTGAAATTTTGATATCATATATTTTAATTTTTTAATTTTTAATTTTTTCCTAGTAAAAACTCACCCAGACACTCTGTGAGCAAACTCAATAATATCATCCTTGGTCCGTGGTCCTCTATAATTATAGGCCAAATCCCCCTTTAATCTTAAAAAGAAGAGAGAAAAAAGCTTGCATTATTTCAACTGTTTTAATGTTTAATGTAGATCACTCAGTATTATTATATAAAATTACAATATATAAAATAGAAAATGGAGAGATTTAGAACCACATAACCACATAAAATACAGTAGACAACTGGCTTCAGGGGACCAGCAACTCCAAATATAAAGAAAAAGGCTGTATTTTGTTAAAGTTGCATGAAAATAATTTACTGCGTGTCGGTAGTTGCACCGTGTTTATGCCTTCAAACTAATGAATAATCTACTCATTCAGTTCATGGTCGGGAACTGGTCTAAGCATAATTCTCACTGTCTTCTCCTTTAAAAGGCAAGTAAAAGGCCAGGGAATTAATAGTACTTCGGTAACGGTAAGACAAATTTTAAGCACTACAACATCCTAGTAACTTGATAGAAGCTCCAAGACTGCAGAGTAAAACAATGCATAAAAACATTCTTGCAGAAAATTAGATAACTTTCTAAAAGCCTGCCAATGAATTGTGTGTCCAACTAATGGATTTTAAAAAAATTTGTGAAAGCCCAACAGAACATCCACAATTAAACAAAGAACAGGAAGGTTTGGCAAACATTTAAAAAGTGAGGGAAGATGGGAGGTCAACACAAAACCCAAGAAATAAAAAAATTAAATTACTCACATATGACTTTTTAAAATACTGAAATTAAAACTTACATTATAAACATTAGTTTCAAAATAATTTAACTTCCTGTATTATCAAAATAAGGACATGGATGAAATGCCTGAGAAAACTCAGTGAAACGATGATTATAAAATGAGCCCTTCAGGATTATCACACCATTTCTTCCAAGGTACGCATTCGCTGTTAGACTCGATCAACACCCAGAGTTAGAATTAACACCCATAAATTTGATTCTCTGTGTCTTTCATCTCTAATGAAATGTCTATTATAATTACAGAAAAGTAAAATTTATGAGACAGGATCCACATGACAAAGCAGAACACACTCCGGAGCTGCTGGAGGGTGAAAGAACTGTAACTGCCTTGTCCTGCCCAGGGCCCATTGGTCAGGTCAAGTTGAGGGCATGTGCCTTCAGGAATCACCACGTTCACAGAAACACAAAACGAGCATAAAGATGCGGGCCCTCCGCTCTGATCACGTGCCGCACCTGGGAAGAACTGCTGAACCCAAATCTTCAGTCCTCCCGAGAACTTAATCTAAGAAAAGGTAAGTACAGTGACCTAATAAAAATATACATATAAATGTACAACACTCAACTTACAGCTTAATTGTCGGATAACCTCGAACTCCAAACTCTGAAGCAATGCCTTGATGAGAAAAAGAATAAATAATTCTAAATTTTTTTAAAAAATGAAAAACTACGTAATAAATGTGCCTTTTTACTTAATATATAGTTACACAAACTTACATAGATACGCTGTTTTTAAATCTAAAGAAAATATAAACTCACGCAAAAAGAAAAACATGATATTCTCATGCAAAATAATTACTTAATACTCTAACCTACAGCCTGCACAAAACACTATGACAAAATATGAAAACAAGTGTCAAAAGAACAGTTAAAATTTTGTCTTTGAAGTACAGCACTTATTTCACACACAAACACACACAGTTTCGCCTCTCGTTTGACTTCATCTACAGGACAAATACTCCCCAAAAGACCCATCACTTCTCTTAACGTTTGAGCCTTAAAGGACCTGCACTGTATTTTAGTTTTAAAAACATAAGTCATAGCTGCAAAATTATTTAACTTCTATAGTCAATATATGATCTAAAAGCAATTCACAAGGTTTTAGAAGTTTCTGCTTTTGTAATAACCTAGAATAATTCCAATTGACACAAAGATTCTGCTGAAATCCTCATGTTAAGTGGCACAGCTGCTACAGTGGCATCTTTTTTAAGCGAAAGAAGAAACAGTGACAGAAGCAAGCAAACAGAGAATCAGGCATTTACGAATTACAGAAATCACAACAGCAAATTAATGCTGTATTATTTTACAGGTTCAAGGCAACTAGGACAGTAAAGGAAAAAATTGCATTCTCAGTTAACAGGCTATCTACAATACAGGTACACAGCTGCACCAGCACACGCAAAGTGTACCGTACTGACAGACGTGCTCGCCCGTTCGGTCACGCTCTTTACTCCCAAGGTATTTTCCTCTCCCAGCCGGGAGAAGGCAACCGCAACCACTCCACGTGGGTTCTGGTTGACCAACCACTCTCGTAATTACTAGCCTTTGGTTTCACATCACTCCCACCAATACACAAGAAAAAGGGCAAAGCAAATTTGTGGCAAAATAATATCCCAAATCTCTGTCTTCCTGTCAACTCCAGATCCTGCCTCTGAACTGCCATGTGAACACAGACCGATTACGTAACTTATTTGTGTGCCTCTCCAATTCAGGGCTTACTTCTGCCAAGTATATTCTAACAAAAGAAATGATTTAGGGGAGACCCTGACTGGGTAGCTCAGTTGGTTAGAGTGTTGTCCCCATACACCAAGGTTGTGGGTTCAGTCTCTGGTCAGGGCACACAGAAAAAGCAAACAAGGAATGCGTAAGTGGAACAATCGGTGTTTATCTTTCTCTCTGTCTAAAAATCAATAAATTAAATTAAATGATTTAGGGGAGATGATGTGAGTAGAGCATGTTCTTAATGCTTCCCATTCTAAATTAAGGAGGCAGGTAAATACAAGTCCTCATTACCTTCAACCAGAACTCATTAAAAACTGCCAAAGGTAAAGACTAATATAATTCACTGGAGGGGGGGGCACATCCCACTAGCAACTCCTTATATAATTTAGAATAAAATTTATTTATATACAAATCAAATTAAAAAATGAAATATGCACCAACGAGAAACGGTATCGATGTTGTTTCTCATAATAGGCTTCAGGGAGAAATGTAACCCCGTCGCTTCCTTTCCTTGACCTCGGTTGTTCGCATCTGTAAGATGGAGATGTGCAGGCCCCCCACTCTGTGGGCCCGTGGCTCCTTGAACACTAACCTTCATTCCCCATAGAATTTCAATTGACAGTGACTCCGAAAACTTCAAACCTAGGCTCCCCTTGAGGAAAATGGCTGTATAACAATAAAAAGCACACACACAAAGCATGAGTTATAGGCATATAATGACCCAGGGTTGAGTTCCAACTTCCCCATCTATCATCTGCACAGCTCTGCATAATCTCCTCACTTCTCTAACTGCGCATCTGGTAGGGCTCTGGGTGGGACTTTACGATGAGCACACACGTAAAACAGAATCTAACAGAGAGCCTAGCACACAGAGATCCTCAAAGGCTGGGTCCGTTTCCTCTCTATTCTGGATCCCGATCTCACTGTTTGGTAATTATCTGCTGATAATTCTATGTTCAAACAGTATTAATAAGAATTAGCATGTGTAGAATATATATTACTGGCTTTAATACACCTTCAACTACACGTCAAAACAACTTTGTGAGGGCGAAGGTGGCGTTACTGTTATTTTTCAGATAAGGGTGCTAATGCTTAGGAAGGTCTGGCACCTGTCTGGGAGCAGGTACTAATTAGGTGGCAGGGCTGAGGCTGAAACTCAAGTCTGAATTCACATTTGTTATGTTTTTGTTATTAAAGGAGGATAGTTTGTGCAGAAAACTGGGATCAATTCCTTTATAAACTGAAGGATCTGTTTGTAAGAGGAATAACTTCCCCTGAAGTGTTGTCATTTTAAATGTTCATGTTTGAGGTGATTTAAATGTTCATTCTGTTTTCTCTTTGAAATGACAACAAGTTGAAGGGACAGGCAGGTAGGCTGGGAGGTGGATCTTGGTGACCTTGGATTCCAGGCCTAATTCTGCCTCTAACTTTGGTGACTGAAACCACTTCCAGTCGTTTTGCTGCCAATTAGCTCCCTTACTTCACCTAGATGATGGGAGGGAGAAGTAAGGAGCAGAGCTTAATTCTAAGTCCATTTCAGCTCGGAGGTACTATTTTCCTAGCACTGAGTCACTATGCGTCAGACGTGAACGGGAGTAAAATGCAGCAGTGCTCTCAACTGGGAGGGGGAGGATCTGCCCTCCAGGAGCCTCTGGGCAATGTCTGCAGACGTATTTGATGGCCACAACTTTGGGGAGAGGGACAGTGCTGCTGGTATCCAGTGGGTCGAGGCCAGGGATGCCGCTGGACGCCCTACAGCACATTCATTACAATTTCTTCTCTGGTCCCAAATGTCACGAGTGACAACGTGAACAACCCCTAAGTACAGTCACTAACCAAAAGGTTTTATGATCTACAAAGGTAAAGGTAAAACTAATTTGCAAATATAATCTGTGAACAAGGAATCATAATATAAATGTTATTGGCCAAATGCCACTGCAAGTTTATAGATCAAAGAGATGTAAAATATGATCTTTACCATAAAACTATGTCACACTGAGGTTTGAGGAATGAACAGAATTTCAGTGGTTTCATAATAAAAACCAATACCTTATCACAGCCAGCATCGTAACTATTTTAAATTCCAAACAAGGCACAATTTTAGCACTCATTTTTGAATGGATATGTACAGAGAAGCTAAAATATGTATCTGAATTTGCATTAGACATTGTACAACTTTGCAATGTTATCTGGTAATAGTATTATTAGTTGAAACCAAGAAATCTTTGGTACAATTCCAAACACACAGGGCAGAAATAAACCATGATAGCTTAAATTCCTCCAGTTCAACACTTCTACAGAGATCTGCTGGACTGTGTGAGTGTGATGGCGCTTGCTTCCACTCACTGCAAGTATGTGACAGGAATAGGCTACTCTCACAAATACCCTATGAGATTAGTTTACACTTGACCACTGAATAACCCTATCCCACCCCAAACCAGTCCTACAAGTAACTATTCACCAAAATAACACTTGACTTTGTGATTCTCCAACTTAAGCGTGCAGAGGACTCACCTGAAGTCCACGTAAAAATACAAATTCTCATAGCCTAATCTCTGAGATTTTCATTTGAGCACCCTAAGTAACCCTAATGCAGGTAGAGTGCAGACTGCACACTGAGATACACTGGTCTGTGACTGCCTGAAAAGCCATCTACAGGGATGGAAGAGATATCCATGAAACAGCCAACCCTTTAGCATCCTACAGTTAGACATAAAATCATGTTGGCAGCCAGCTTGAAAACAAAATTTCAGTTTCTTCACCTGTCTAACTCCAACTGCCTGCCCTGGAGCTGCCCTGAAGTATTTAAGGAGACTTGAAGAATTATATGCCAAAAACCTATTTGTAATCTCTAGATAACAATTCTTGAGTACTTACAAACTTTTTTTTAGATACTAAGAAGATATTTTTTCCCATAGCACATAAAATATCTCGAGTCTAAAATAAAATGAAAAAACGCATCCATCACTGATATCAAACACTAAATAGTACCACACAAGTCACTTACGTTTATTGGTTATTGTCTGCTTCTCCCACTAGAATGTAAATTCCACGAGAGCAGAGACTTTTGTCTGTCTTGCTCACTCATGTATCACAATGCCTAGAACAAGCTGGGCACATCCTGGGATATGCTAAGCACTCATTGAATACCTGCTGAATGAATGCTTACTCTATGATGTTGAAACAAAAGAATGACTTTTCACTAAGCCAACCCCCAAGTGCGGGCTCCCAACACCCTCCACCAAGACGCACACGAGAGCTGACCTGGATGACTTTCTGGTCTCTACTCTTCTTTCCTTCCTACATGTAGCAAGTCACTGGCCTTCTCTAAATCTTATACTGCTGCTCGACAACCAATAAAGCCCAAAGCACTGTATTCCACCCCAGGGGCTGTGAAGTCTGGCATTACCACTTGTCTGTATTAGCCATTGTGGTGAGGTCTTTTGAACATGAAATATCAGCACAGTCTTCACAACCCAGAGGGTTATTTATCACTCTTCCGTTTATAGACAAGAAAACTGGAATTAAGAGATCAAGCTCTTCCCAAAGCCACAAAAGTGGCAGAGTTGGAATTAAAACATAGGCTTGTCTTGTTCCAAAACTGTATCCAGAGAATGACCCTGACTTTCTAAAGTGAGAGATGCAGTATAGACTCCTGCATCATTCACTAAAGGGAGAGCGACCCTACGCTTCCTGCACCCTGCAAGGGACCTTACATGGGCTACACCACTGACACCTTGAAATAATCTATAAAAAGGCCTCACAATAAAAATTCACCAGTGTGGGAATCAAAGTCAGAGGTGCTTAGACACTTTCCTGGTGCTGTACTGCAAAAGTATATGTGTGTGCGCACGTGCGTGTACGTGCGTGTGTGTATGTGTGCGCATGTGCATGTGTATATATAAAGCACATACACAGCAGGGCCAGGATCGGATTTAGGTCTGCTTTCTGAAGCCATGCTCTTTCCAAATCTCTGTATCTCCTACATCTCCAAACTTAATTTTGTCTTTTCCCAAATCCTTTAAGACAGGCACTGGCAAACTTTTTCTGTAAAGGGCCATAAAGTAAATGTTGTAGGCTTTGTGGGGTTACAGTCTCTGTTAAAATCATTCACTCTGCCACTGAAACAGGAAGACAGCCTTAGACAAAAGTAAACACACCAGCGTGCTCGGTTGCAAGAGAGTTCCATTTACGAAACCAGGTAGGGCCAGATTTCGTCCATGGGCCGTGGTCTGTCAACCTCTTCTTTACGACAGTCTGTTCTCAGGTACGTACTTAATACGCTCGTCTCCAACTCTATGATTTTGTTCGAATATTCTGTCTAGTGTGAATACTTTCCTGACCCTTACTTGTATTTACCCTAACTCAGCTCACCCTTCACGTTACCATTTCCTCCTCTACCATGCCATTTGACTGCTCAAAGCACAGACTCTCATTCTTAATCCACACAGCAACATCAATGGTTTAAGTCACTATCTCAAGTGGGCTCAAAATAGAACTGGCTTATGTATCTCTAGTAGGCCTAAGATTAACATATACTGCATATTACACATCCAATGGTTAATTCATTTAACTCATAAAGCATAGTCTTAAGTAAAGATATCTTTAATTTTACATGAACAAATATATATACACACACACACGCACACATATATATACTTATTCCTTCTACCTTAAAGACTTCTTTGCATAATTTAAACATTTTCTTTAAGAGAACAGTTGAAAAGTAAACTGAGAAAATGCTTACTAGAATAAGAAGTAGCATCCATCTTCCCAACTTTAACGGGCGAACCAATGCTTTTCATCTCAAGACCAACTTCGTTCCAAATCGGTTCCAGTTTTTTACAATGACCACACCATGGTGCATAAAACTTGGTGAAAACAAAAACAACCAAACAAAAACAGAACACTAAAATGCTATGTTACTGTAGATATCGACCTTAACTTTAAAGAATCTCTTTGATGAAATGATCTAATAATGTTTTAGACAAAAAAATCTAAGTATAATTTTCAAATTGGTTAACATAATAGGGAACACATGCACAAACCGAAATAGGTTAACTCCCAGCATACCCCTCAACACAGACACTACTTTAATATAACTTTAAATACTGATGTATATTTAAAGTAGATACATGATCTACAATAAACGCATTTTTGTTTTAAGTGGTGTGTCCATGTTATGCCAAAAGTGAAACCACCAAATACAATACACACATCGTATGCACACCCCTAAGTGTTAATGATAAAAGTCAATCTGTTTCTGCTACAAAATTCCAACACAGCAGGTGCCTTTGCTACTGCAAGTATCACTGTGGGTAAAATGGGGGAAACCATTAAGGTGACTGGTTTGGCAGAGGGACAATCCAGGCTGGTTAAACTAAAACCACAGTCCTGCCTTCTTCGGAGTCACCAGCTGCCTGGGGTGGTAACTGGTGTTTGGTTAAACAGTGTAACAAACTGCTTGCTGTCTTTTCATGAAATGGGATTTATCTACTTGTGAACACTATATGGAGGCAATGTTCACACACACAGGAGGGAGAGAGAGAGAAGTATACAGTAGACCTCGTGGACCACAGCCTAGCTTCACTAAGTGTCCACTCAGCCACTGTGAGGCCCTGTCTCCTGCTGCCACTCTACTCTTTCACTAAGGCCTGTGAAAATGAACCCCAAACACCATAAGGTTTGAATATATTCCACACTTGAAAGGAAAATTCGACTTTCTCACTATTAAAATGAGATATGATTCCGACTGCCAAGTGCTTTATAGACACAATCTCTTCGATAATACGACAAAACCAAGAATGAATCCTGTAATAAAATCATACCCTAATCTCCCTCAGACACAACCCACAAGTCGAGGTCACCAGAACTTCATCACAATCAGGTTCCTTAAGGCTCTGAGGTTCATTTTAATATAAAAAACATCAACAGTACTACGTAAGAAAACAAATTGAGTAATATATTTAAGTATTAAGTGTATATATTTGGGTGAAGAACAGAAATTAACAGGGGTGGCTAATAAAAAAAAATTACATACTCACATCTACAAGCCAAATGTCATCTTTTCGATTGTCTTTAAATCTAAAAATCAAGAAAACAAGTCTTTGTATGTTTCCACTTGAACACTGAACAGCACAGGTAGGGATAATCGATTGACAAATATAGGAGCATGAAACAAATTCTTTCAATAAATTTATATGTGCTAGTTTTACTCAATGACCTCTAAATCTTATCCATTAAACCTCATAATAAAAGTAGAGAACAGGTGAAATAATCAAGTGGTACGTGGTAGAAGTAATCAAGAGGCACATGATAGAAACACACACGTGCTCAGCGCCTACACCTTGGCTCCACTCGTACCTGGCATTAGTTACGCAGCAGGCCTTGGCTGCTATCCTTGGAAAAGGGACAGGAGTGGAAAGGCACTGAGTCCACAAGGAGCAATGTGACTCAGCCACTCCCCTCAGCAAGGAGGTCTCTGCAGAGGTGCCTAGGAAATCCCTTAAGTGAGGCCCCCAGAAAGACAAGCAGGCTAGGAATGCAGATATGCATCCAAGCACAGCTGGTCCCGGAGGCCTGAGTCTATGGCTACAACTCCCTCCAGAGACTGTGGGGCACTGGCTGTACCCAAGTCTGCTGTTGGGAGGGTGGCTTCCCCCTGGAGGCCTCCAGGAAGAGCCATGCAATTGCCTGAAAGATCAGCCACTGGGTTCTGTCTGGAGCAGGACTCCTCGCCTACTACAAGCAAGGCCTTGTGATGAATGCTGTGGTACTGTAGAAAAAAAAAAAATACACAGTATGGTCTCTAATTCCAGCACCTACTCACTGATTAAAGCAGAAAAACGTAAAATACAGGGGAAATGATAAAATAGAACATAGATGAGTTTGGCACATTGTTTTTGATCTTACAACTTAGTAAAACTCTTTTGAGCACAACCCCATTTTGTACATATTCAGTGCTGACAACGACTCCTAGAACAAAATCAGTGCTAGGTTAAGCACTGGTCATTTATTCAGAGTTGGAAGAAGATACTATTTAAAAATATCTATACTCACGATTCATCCAAATCTTCTACATATCCTTTACAGAAGGCCATATTAAGCAAAAAAACTGAAAGAAAAAGAGAAAATGTATAGTCAATGCAGATTTATCACTTGCCTTGTACTATATGCTCAGTTACCTATACAATGCCCAGGTAGGTTGACTTCTTACAACCTACCAAAAAAATCCATCATTGAGCCACCGTCCCAGGGCACAGGCCATGCAAAAGCACAAACAGTTCACGGGTTTAACAAACATAGGGTGTCCCCAAAAACGTCCACACACTTTGACTAATCATAACGGCCGTGTCTATTAAAATAGATTTCATTTTCAAAAGGTGCGCATTCGCTTCCGTGGGACACCCGGACTTGCTCCGCATGCGACCGTCCCGGGCGGGCGGGGAAGTCAGGGGTTCTCTTTAAAACACACTTTGACGTCCTGGACATAAGCCCCAAATGCCATTACGAATACTGTTCGTTTTTACCCCCAAATTCATAGACAGAGAGCACATTGAGCTCCACCGCTTATACGATTGGGGAACAGTGTCCTGCACGCGGGGGGACCGAGTAAGCGCGACCCAGAGAGACCCAGGGGCGCGGGGGCCGAGCCGAGGCCCCCCACCCTGCCCCCCGCCCTCGGGG